GAGTAAATGAAAATTCACTGCATATTTAATACCAAAAAAGGCCTTTACATATGTCCAAGTATTTACTGGATTTTAAAATATGTGACAGTGTGCAGTTTGGGAATAAAAGTTGGGTGAGCGTTTGAAAAAGAACCAACTAGAAAAAATAAAATGTGCTTGATTGCCCTGGTTTTAGGGAAAAAATAAATAAACCTGTCACTGTCTGTTGTGTACCCAAAACCACAATCTAAGAGTTAACATCACATCTGTTATTGTTGCTCAGTCGCTTAGTCGCGTCTGACTCTTTGCGACCCCGTGGACTGCAGCATGGCAGACTTCCCTGTCCTTCACCATCTCTCAATGTAAATATGACATTATTTATATTCTATGAGAGCATTTCTCAAACTGGAAAGTAAACCTCATCGAGCAGTCACAGAATTTTGCTTGCAGCATTCTCCCAGCTCTCTGGATTTGTGGACTACCAATCTGTTCTTGGGGCTTCCCTCCTAGCTCGGTCAGTAAAGAATCTGCCTGCAATGCAGGAGACTCGTGTTCGATTCCTGGGTTGGGAAGGTCCCCTGGAAAAGGAAATGGCCACCCACTCCAGTATTCTTGCCTAAAGAATCCCATGGACAGAGGAGCCTGGCAGGCTACAATCCATGGGGCCACAAGAGTCGGACACGACTTAGCAACTAAACCACCACCATCACTAATCTGTTCTTGAGAGACAGGCAAATTCCTCCTACAACTTGTACGTAGCTCCTTTTGGGAGACCTCCTGATTCCAAATCAACATTTGCCAATGCAGGGAACATAAGAGATGCAGATTTGATCCCTGAGTTAGGAAGATCCCCTGGAGAAGGAAATGGCAACACACGCCAGTATTCTTGCCTGGTTAATCCCATGGACAGAGGAGCCAGGCAGGCTAGAGTCCATGGGCTCACAAAAGATTCTGATATGACTTAGTAACTAAACAACATTTACCCACATCACTGAGAAACTATCGGGGGTGAACTCCAGGTTCTGGGACCCCCCGTCACTGCAAAGTTTGCCAACTCTCGCATGGCCTCTCCTCCTCTGAGCAATGGCAAAAATTGCCCTTTGAAAATATCATGAAAAGAACTGTTCAGATCCTGGTTGATTGTAGTTGTTATTTAAGACTGGAGTAGGGTCTGCAATTTTCCACGGGATGAGGGAACAGGAAGGAAGTCAGGTGGCTGACCACTCCTGAAACCTCATGGGGTTGCAAAGAGTCAGACACGACTGAGCGACTGAACGGAACTGAACATAGCCTTTACACTGGTGACAATTCTCACCTGTTGAGCCGGGTCTTTTAAAAACTGCCAAGAGTATAATTCTTCCCACACTGCTTTTCTTATAGTCTATGCCCACCCTTCTTACCATTAACACTGTGTTCTATAATTTGAAAATTGAACCCAATTTTGAATTTTGTGTATCTTCATTACGTTGTTTTTAATTACTGACATTTTAAACACTTTCCATGTGCTTTGACAGAATTCCATATTAAGGAAAAATAACTTTTCCAACACTTATATAAGACTTACCTACATCTTTTTAGGGAATGCATAAGGAAGTTTTTTTTTCCTTAAAAGTCTATTTCTAATAGCTTCAAATCCAGGCCATGGAAACCCTGAGTATTTTTTTTTTTTACTTTATAAATAATTGAATATATGTTTTATTATGCTTCCTAGGTGGCACAGTGGTAAAGAATCCAACTACCAGTGCAGGAGATGCAAGAGACTTGGGTTTGATCCCTGGGTCGGGAAGATACTGTGGAGTAGGAAATGGCAACTCATTCAAGTATTCTTGCCTGGAAAATTCCATGAACAGAGGACCTGGTGGGCTACAAACCATGGGGTTGCAAAGAGTGGGACATGAGTGTGCACACACACACACGTATCTTCTTATGGAGATGTTCAACTCTCAGATACTAGGAGATTCAGATTGCTAACAAGTTAGTTAGGATTAAACCACCTTTGATCTACTTTCACATTTATTAAGAGTAACAGAATCCTGGAGAATCTGAAGTAAAACTCTGTCTATGACTCTGGAAAACCTGAAGACCACAAATATACAGCTCAGACAGGTAATAAATGTGGCCAAATCTGGGACTTTAAATCCTGGGTCTCTTCACATAAATCCAAACCATTCATGTGCCAAGAGGGGAACTATCTGCAACACTGAAGAGTTCCCTGGTGATGGAAAGATTAATGGGAATTAGAGGTGCCTGAAACCTTAACAGCAGACAAAGAGGGCTGTCCTTGACCCCTGAAAGTGCTAAATTATTAACTGTGCCAAGCCCGGGCAACCACTGTCACTAGTCTTCCAGCACCTGTCTTCCAGACTGTTTAAAACATTTACTTTCTACCTAAAACTTGCCACAGGTTTATAGTAATAGGAATCCAGTCATCATATACCCATTTAAATATTTTTACCTAATATTTAGGATTTACAAAGTCAAAGAGCATGCTGTGTAATAGAAACAATGTGCTGCATGCATGCAAAGTCGCTCAGTCGTGTCCAACTCTTTGCGACCCTATGGACTGTAGCCCACCAGGCTCCTCTGTCCATGGGCTTCTCCAGGCAAGAACACTCGAGTGGGCTGCCGTGACCACCTCCAGGGGGTCTACCCATCCCAGGCGTGGAACCTGCATCTCTCATGTCTCTCCTGCTTTTGCAGGTGGATTCGTTACAACTAGCGCCACCTGGGAGGGCTTCCCTGGGGGTTCAGTCAGAAAAGACAGCCTGTAATCCAAGAGACCCAGGTTTGAGCCCTGAGTCAGGAAGACTCCTTGAGGAAGGAAATGGTAAGCCACTCCAGTATTGTTGCCTGGGAAATCCCATGGACAGAGTGGCCTGGCAGGCTATATAGTCCATGGGGACGCAAAGAGTCAGACACAACTTAGCAACTAAACCACTAAACCCACTACCTGAAAGTACAAACAACAATAGCACTTTCAATTCAGAAATTTACTTTCAACTTCATAAAATACATTTTTACTGTAAATAAGAGAAGGCTTGTAGTTTAAAACTGAAAGCAGAATTTTCATGCATATGGTGTGCTTTTTTTCCTTTCTGAATTTAATCATACATCAGGACATTATTCTAACTACAACCATTAGTTCACTTAGTCCTCAAAACAACTCTATGAAAAAGGAAGAATAATTATCCACATTTTACAGAGAAAGCAACTGAGCTTGGAGGGAAACCTTCCCAGGGTAACAGAGAGAAAAGTGGTACACTGGACACCAGGATTGAGACTCAAGTGGTCCAGATGCCATGCTACATTGCTATTCAATATGTCTTAGCCATACACAGATGGTTCTAGAAGCATTTGGGAAAATGATAAATTCTGTAGTGGTAGTACATTTTTTAAAGTGGGATTAAACTAAATAAAAAGTCTCCTTTTGAGTCCTCTGAAGGTCAAGAGAGGCTCAGAAGTAAAACATGACGATTATCTTTGTCACCTTTTAACCTGTGATTTTCTTTTTCAAGTGACATGCCTCATGTACTACTAAAGTGACTTAGTATAGTTTAACCTTGCTGTAATTAGCACTATGAGTCTGCATTACAATTAAATCATTGCCTTACCTGGGTAGTTTATAAGGGTTGTATTATTAAATGTCCTTGAGCTCATTTAAAACAGAATCCAGATAAATACTTTGTTGGGTGATTCCCCCCTACCCCAACTCTTTGTTGTGTATTTCGTAAGAAAAACTTGCTTTACTTAGTATTTCCCAAATGTACTAGAGCCCATATATTATGCCAACTTTCAAAATCTCTTGAGAGTCATCTAAGAGGTATCACTGTTCCACAGTTTTTGGAACGCTAAATCTTAATTTCTACTCTATTTCTACAAATTTCACATACAGAGTAGGAATAAAGCAAAGTATGTGGGGGGGGGGGCGGCGGTGGGCAACAGGTGGAGGAGCTCTAACTACTTCATTCATAAATACAACAGGATTTGAAGCACAACCACTAATGAGTTTCTGGAATTCTGTAACTGTAAATCCCAAGTCCTATCTGGAATGCTCCCTAAAAATACGGTGGTCAGAAATAAAAGGCCAGGTACCTATCACCAAAAAAGATGAAATTCTTCTAACACATTGAAAAAGGGACAGGGGTGGGGGAAGAAAGGACATTCTTACACAAAAATTGGATTCTACCACTGCTAAAATGGAGAGAGGCAAACCAGATTTATCATGGTTGTTTCTAGATACTGGTTTCTATGAGATACAAATTTGGGATTGCTAATAAAACTGAACATTAGAATCAAAAGGGATCTTAGAAATCACAGATCAACTCCCAACAATTTAAAGATCTTGAAAAGTAAGTTCATAAGAGGTTAGGTTTAAAATTAAATCATCTTATTCTCTGATTTGGTATAAAATTCAGGTTCCTTTTGAGAAAATTATTATCATTACTATTAGGGTTTTTCTCGTTTTTTTTTTTCTTTTACTGAATTACAAACCTGAGATTGCTTTACGGGTGTATTATTAGTAAGACAAATGAGTAAACTGCCATTTAAAAAATTCAGAAGTTGCCAAGTTTATTTACAATAAAATAACTGAAAGAGCTCTTGGCTTCTTTCTCTTGTTCCACTTTCAGCCTATGAAATGAACTGAATCAATATAGGAAAAGCTTCTAAAAGGCAATCTTATTCTATTATCAATAAAAGAAGTTGCTGCAGAATGGAACAGCCAAGAAATGATCCGTTTTTAGGGCAACTTACAATTCTTCAGGTCCTTGCTATCTGAAAGAATAAAACAGCTCAAAGAAAAACTACACAGCAACAAAAAACCAAACCAACAAAAAACCTAGTGGGCACAGCAGGTAGGAGAGTAAAATCCTCACTGAGAGTTTTAACCGAAAATCGATCGATACAGAGAAAACGAGGGAAGCTGAGTGAAGGATTCCATGGTTTAGGGGGACTTGTGCTCGAAACAGTATTAGTCAAAACCCTCTAAGACACAGGCAGTATTTCTGTAAGGCATTACTCACAGCAGAGAGCAAGCAATCAGAAAAGTGGAAATCAGGGTCCATTACTCATGGTAGGATAACCTGCATTATCCTCTTTCAGAGGCATCACTAACAAGAGCTGATGAAGAGAAATGAAGGCTGAGAAAGAAAGGGAATGGTGTTTCTTTTACATGTAATTTTCAGCAAACTCTGATGAGTTGCAATCCTGAATGAGTTCCCCTCCCTCTCCTTTCAATTTCATTTAGGAAAATCATCTAGGTTAGGTTCTTCAAGTGTGACTTTGCAACTAGCCTAATGTGGTCCCAAATTATCACCTTCAACATTCCTTGGAGGAAGCACCTGATTAAATACCCTCTGGTTAAGCAGATCAAGGTGGCTTTATGCCGATTTCAAGAAGAAGCTGTCAAGCTGACAAATTGGTATCTTTACCCTGTCGGATACCATCTCCTGTCAGGAGGGTTTCTTATTTCTTAAAACTTGCTTCTCCACTTTGGCAGCATTCTAACAATCTATTTAAGGGTCTGACTCCTAAAGCTTGTAAATTCTATTTTCCATTCTCCTATTTCTCTATAGATTACACCGTTGACCTCTGCTACTGATGTTGCAGGAAGTTATCTGGAAGTCATCTGCTGTGACCCTAGCACAGAATTAGAACTGCACTTCTAGGACAGCCAATTTCTAAAATGCCTAAATCAGTTGCACATGGTTTAAAACAACTCATAAAAAAGGATCGCCACTACCATGGTATTACTCTCTCCCCAACCCTTTGTCCAGAGTCGGAAAAAAAGATGAAAGGCAGGAAGTAGCCTATCAACAAGTGGTTCTCCTTTGAAGACAGATAACAAAATACTGGAGTTAAAAGTATATTTGTAATTGCAAAGTTACTCTTCTTAAACAAATTCCAAGTACAATATCTGCCTTTGACCTTGAAAAAGTATTTTTCTCACTGTTCACAGCTGACATAGTTGGTTCAGTTAGGCACCCCACTCCCGACTATGGGAAAAATGTTCCCTGAAATTCAATTATGTGAGTTATTAGCTTCTAGCTGTCAGCCTAGAAGTAGCTGCTTTTATGCTCTGCCACTGCTACTGCCTGGGAGAGAGTTCTGCCTGCTCTGATGATGTGACAAGCTGTCATAGTAACAGCATCCATCTGACCACCTGGCAGACCCTCAACTCCCTCCGTGCGATGCTGGACTGTTGTAAAGCGCCATTCAGCATCTCCTTGGACAGGGACTATTGTCAGCAAAACATATGCTGCAACTAAGAGAAGAAGTCTGAGGACCTCAAACCTAAACAGAGTCCAGGTTTCAGATTTTAAAATGAAGTCTATCCTCAACCTTCTACCTTTTCTATTTAGGCAAGGGTCTAATGGTAATATGCAGCTCCAACAATGCAACAAGTGTATTTTAAAACAATAAAAATATTTCTAGTGTCTCCACGGTCCATTTTAAACAATTGGGGTAAATACCTAGGGTATTTATCTCTAGGGTATCACAGGGATATACCCTATGGTATCATTTATTCAAAAATATTTTCTTTACTTCAACAGCTACTGGTTGTGGATCTTTTAATACAAGAAGGAAACAGACAGTAACATGCTAAAATTACAACATTAAGCTCTTTAGTAATTAATAACCCTTAAAGTTCAGTTAGTAGAGAGAAACAGTAGGGTCTAACTGAACCCTAAGGAAGATATGTATTCCTAGATTAAAAGAACCCTTTACAACAATAGGACTTTGGAGGCAATGGGGAACATCTTCCATGGAGAAGAATTATGCTTTTAAAGTTCACACATACATGTGATGAGTACATGTACACACATATACATATACTCTCAAAGTGTAGAACTGATAATACTGATAGATACTAGAGTCTGCTAACTGAACTTGGATAGTAAAGTATCCCATACTTTCATAAAATGTTTGCTTTGAACACAACCCCCAAAGGCCAAAAGTCTCTAACTTTTGAGACACATCTATAAAGTCAGCATTCAGTATATTGCTGACTGGTAGGCTGAGCACTGAAGAACTGATGCTTTCGAACTGTGGTGCTGCAGAAGACTCTTGAGAGTCTCTTGGACTGCAAGGAGATCAAACCAGTCAATCCTAAAGGAAATCAGTCCTGAACACTCATTGGAAGGGCTGATGCTGAAACTCCAATATTTTGGCCACCTGATGCAAAGAGCTGACAGAAGACCCAGAAGCTGGGAAAGATTGGGGGCAGGAGGAGAAGAGGGTGGCAGAGGATGAGATGGTTGGATGGCATCATCGACTCAATGGACATGGGTTTGAGCAAACTCTGGGAGACGGGGAGGGACAGGAGAGCCTGGTGTGCTATAGACTATGTGGTCATAGAGTCAGACTCGAGTTAGCAACTGAACAACAACAGTAAAGCTGCTAGCTGAGCTTTGAAAGTAACATTAATCACCTAAGCATGGTGTAACTCACAGTATCCGCAATAACATCCTAGGAAGCAGAATTAAGCAATGGCAATCAAGTGTCACTCTGCCTGTCAGCGTCAGGCAAATGTCATTAATAAATCCTTACAATATCCTAGCAAAATAGCTATTTTCTTCTGCCTGAAAAAGCAGACTGTGACTCCATCCTTACCAAGCAGCAGTGGTCTCACAGATACACAGGGAACACATACAGAAAGAAGCATGGATTTCTACAATGTACAGTCCACAGCACATCAAGTCGTGAACCCCACCACCTTTCTGAAATAGAAAACAAAACACTAAACAGAAAGAAAACCCTTAACAATAAAGGGCATAGGAATTAGATAATTAAATCAACAAATTAAAAGAAAAAAAAAAAACCCACCTTTCCTTAAATGCATTTACAGTAACACACTCCATGATTTCAATTTAGAAGAAAACAAACTGTAAAGGTGTATCTAGACCTACGAAAAACACTGGAAGGAGAAATGTCAGATTGCTTTGTTCAATTGGATATGGAGTAGTACATGTACTGATGGTGATTTCCATTTTTGTCTTCATGCTTTTCAGTGTTTTTGACATGTATTAAAAGCAAAAAAGAAAGTCAATAAAGTATTTTAAAATCAAATATTTTAAATGTGATTTAATAGAGAACAAAGTAGCAGGCTTCTGAGGTACAAAATCAATATACTGCAGTGGAAAGTCATTTTCTTTCTGATCCTGCCTGTGACCACGTGACGTCTTTTCACACTTGCTCAAAATTAACTGCTTCACTACATAATGACTGCAACTACAGCAAATGGACCTTTTTGTAGGTAATTCAATTACTGTAGAAGATTTTACAGTTTAAATATCAAGAAGTGAAGCATACATTTGACTATACACAGAAATAAAGCAGATGCTCAACATACCATATGCTAATTAAGAGTGAATTTAAAAATTTCACTGTCTATTTATCTATCCCAGAGGCATCCTAGCTTATTAGCCATTGCTCTGGATCTAGCTGGGAGGGCAGTGTTCTGTCTCCTTTCCAGGTAACATAAGGGATTTCCATACTGTGATCAGAGGCCAGAATTTGTTTGCTAGAATGTGTCCCCTGAGCCCCAGAGTATGTTATTCACAGATCTACTGTGACATTATCAGGGTGGAGAGTAATCTTCACATCTTCCATACTTGACTGACGTATACGGACTACCAAGAATGCATCCAATAAATGATAAATGAATGAACGGGCTGTCCTATACAAATAACTAAACTTAGAGACAAATGTCAGAAATGGCTCAAGAAATCATAGTGAATCATCTGTAACTCAACAACATAAAACACTGAAAGAAAGCTAGTACATATTCCTTCCTTATGAAAAGTTTCTAGCAACTTAAAGCTTCTTTCTTCAGTCCGTGCTCACCCCATCCACGTTCCTAACATCGTCATGAATGAATATATTCAACATCTGCTTCTAAAAAGAAAGGGATGAATTATTTTTATCTGTAGTATGCTTATAAAGGGCTTCCCTGGTGGCTCAGATGGTAAAGAGTCTGCCTGCAATGCGGGAGACGCGGGTTCGATCCCTGGGTCGGAGAGATCCCCTGGAGAAGGAAATGGCAGCCCACTCCAGTACTCTTGCCAGGAAAATCCCATGGATAGAGGAGCCTGGTGGAGTACAGTGCATGGGGTCGCAAAGAGTCGGACACGACAGAACGACTTCACGTTCACGTTCGTTCTAAACAGCTAAAATGCTTATAACACCTGAGTTTTTTCCTCACTAACTATAAATTATCTTTTGCATACCATTACACCGCACTGTCATAAAGAATGTTGAATGCATGTCATTTTCTTTTGCATTTGATTACATCATCAGTGTTGGCGAAGAACACACTTTCAGAGCAGCCTCCTGCGTGATCTAGACTGACCCGTAGAGCCAGCAGGTGTTAGATGTGGGGGATTTATACCCACAGCACTCCTGCTGCTAGCTTTACTCTGAGGCCAAGAGATAAAAGTCTACCCTCAGTTAAGTCACTGAGTAAAGCGATCCACAAGATAGTTTAATGAAATAGGATCTGTAGAAATCTCCAGAATTTCTACAGGATTTATAGCACCATCCTCATTCTTCGTGCATGCGGTGGGCAGCCTCAGAATCTGAAGAGCAGAAATGTCCAATTACTTATCTGGTTCTGCTCAACATACAGAAGTATCCTTTACTGTAAATCAGCATTTCCTAGCGAGGATGCTTGCGGCATTCTGGGTGGGAGAGCTCTCTACGAGGCAAAACTGTTCCACTCCTTGCTGAGTCAACATACATCGTGGCTCCTTTCCCATTGCTTCATCCCCACCCTCAATCTCAGGGAGCAGAATTCCCCAATCACGGAGACAAATAATGTCCCACAGCTTTCCAAACACTCCCAAGGTGAGGGGCGGAGGGGAGGAGTATGAACCACGCCCCCCTCAATGAAGAATCATTGCTCTAAATAAACCCAATATATAAAAAAATCACGGTGCACACAAATCCGCCTGCCAGTGCAAGGGACACGGGTCTGATCCCTGGTCTGGGAAGGCTCCACATGCTGCGGAGAACCTACATTTCTGTTGCCACAACTACTGAGCCCGCTGCTGCAGCTACTGAAGCC